AGGTATGGGTCTGGACCATAGGAATAGTTATATATCTGTGTACATGCTTCCCTCAAGTAGAATATAAACTCCTTGAAGGGGCTATTTTCATGTTTGTTTTTTATATACCCCAAACACGTAGGTAGTTACTATATGGTCACTGAAATTAAATGTGTATAGGTCATTCTTGCATAGAGTAAGTTGAAGAGCCTTTTTCTTTTTTTCTATTTAAGGTCACACACAATGAAGAAGCATAAACCCAGGTTTTATTTCTTTCAAACTTGAGATGTAAATCACTCTCAACTACTAAGCTGAAATAGGGATAAATAATGGTAATAAAAATACTTTGGTTTTATATTACTGCCAGTTAAAAGAAAATTACTTGGGGGCTGAGGGATAGCATAATATGAGGGAAAGGAGAAATACAAAAATTGATAACAGCATAAAAAGAAAGAGGAGGGAAGGGAGGAAGAGAGATATATAGACAAAGAGGAAGACAGAGAATGAAGGGGACAAACCTAGGAAGTTAGAGGAGAGGCAGAGAGGAAAATATGGATAAAAGAGACAGATGACACTCTCAGCTATACAGCTAGGATGTGGACACTAGGGTAAGTTGTCATCAATCACTATTCTTTGAATTTTTTACTAAAGGAACTTTCCATTTGGGGTTGATGTTTTTTTTTTTTAAATTCACATTTCTTTTGTAATAAAGCTTATTTTCTCATGGAATTCTTAATTTTGCACGTAAGAAATGGCATATTCAGAAACTTATCTAGAACTTTAGAGGCCATCACTTTACCATGTCCTTTTGATATTCAAGTTGTCTGACAGTCATGTTCTGTTCTTTGAAAAATTGAAATTGCTTCCTTTCACAATGATTTAATGTTACATTTGAGAATAATACGATCAATATTGCACCAACATCTGTTGCAGAGGATGAAGAGAAATTCTATGAAGAATATAAGATTCTTCAAACCAAGTCAACATAAACTTGATATTCAACTATTACATGTGAAGATGGGCATGGACAATGAAAAACATAATGGAAGATAGAGTTTAAGATTAATAAATTAGAGGCCCAAATATTTTCCTCAGGAAGAGTCAGGAGAGCTAAAAATCACAAACACCAAACAACATCAAAGAAAATGAAAATGACTATAATAGACAGGAAATGATTGGTTACCACTGATGAGAGTAATTTCACAGTAAGCTATGTGCAGCCACATTAGAGAAAATGTCAAAATCAATTCCAAAACCAAAGCAGGAAAAATGAAAAAGACATTGTATGACATGTATCAGTTTCAACTTGATCTAAACAAACTGTTTAAAAGTAAAGACACTGAGATAACTAGGTGGTGCAGTGGATAGAGCTCTGGCCTATCAGGAGGACCCGAGTTCAACTCCGAACACTTGACACTTAATAGCTGTGTGACCCCGGGCAAGTCACTTAACCCCCAACTGCCTCACAAAAAAAAAAGTAAAGACACTGATCTATTATAACCATTTATTAGAGAGCTTTAACTGCTTTTAAAAAAAGCGGGTACCATGTAGCCACAAGGCAAGAAACTGCCTTAGCCAGACTGTGTCTTTGTTTAAAAAAGAGACAAAATAATCAAGAGCAATACCAATTTAGAATATAAACTAAAACATTATAGAGGTAGATAGAGAAATCTTGGTGTGAGATCCAATTACGCCTGGTCATCCCAAGAAAACCTGCGATGAAATTGCAAGGATGCAAAAATTAGGTGTGAAATAAAATAACTTATATCAGTGTTTTCTACTAAAGTCCATCCTCATCACAGACACATATGAACTCTTATTTTATACCCAACATCATACATGGAAGAAATGAAAATGTCACTTAAAATGGATAAAAAAGATAAAGTATAGCCAGGACCTGACCAATACAGAAAGAAAGAAAAATCAATGCTGACACAGAAAACAGCTTTAAAAGCATTCAGGGATCAATTTTCAAGATATTTAAAAGAAGGAATGATTCCAAAGAACTAAAAAAAGATCAGAATCTATATTATTACCAAAATGTTGATTGGGAAGATATAAGCAACTATAATACTGAATCAAATGTCTATTTCCTCACTTCCATAAAATCTTTATGAGAACGGTATAGGGCAGGGTTGGGGAACCTACAGCCTGGAGGCCACCTGTGGCTCTCTAGGTCCTCAAGTGCGGCCTTTTCATGGAATCCAAACTTCACACAACAAATCTCCTTAATAAAAAGGCTGCACCCAAGGATCTAGAAGGTCCATGTGTGGCCTCAAGGCCGCAGGTTCCTCACCCCTGGTATAGGGTATCCTTGATAAAAATGTAAGAAAGGAATAGAAAGGTGCTGACAGATGACATTCCACAACAAATCATATCGAGAGGTTCCTTGGAACAATTTTGGACAATATTGATTATATAGGATTTTGTTCATTACTGGTTACAAAAGCACATCTGACTAAATAGAGGAAAACTGAAACAACTGCTATGTTCCAATCATAAAAGAGATAACCTTATATTAATAGGGAAATACAGTATAAGCTCACCAAGAGCATGCCATGGGAAATGTCTTTCAGATGTCCAAATGAAGAGAGATTCTTTTAGATGGTCAGGTTCTACACATGCTCCTGTTTGTGCAAGACACTGTGTTCCTAGGAATCACACATCTAAAGCTGGAAGGGACCTAAGAGGTCATCTAGTTTAACTTCTTCATATTAAAGATGAGGAAAATGAAGGCTAAGAAGATAATATGACTTGGTCTAATGTCAGAATTGGAATTCAAACTTATGTTCTTTGACTGCACAGTTAGTACATTTCTATTATATCAGCTTCAAGTTCTACAATACCATAGGTCCTCCTAAATCACCTGCAATCACTGAAGAGATTAGCCTAGCAATTTGCCCAGTAAAAACTCAGTGTGAAGAATGGGTATTCCACAAATTATGACATGCAGTTTTATGGGATAGACATTGTGTTATTACACAAGTACATATATCTAGGCCCTGTAGACACACTGAGCTGGGTCCAGACTTGAACGGAGAGAGGATTGTACTGGATTTTATTGGGGACACTATGTATAATTTTCAATGATCTCAATTTATTTTCCACTGCAAAATCTATTTTATTAAGTGCAAAATATTTTCCTGATGATGCTACACGACTATATATCATAGACTACCATTGTCCTGTGAAGAATAAAAAAAATGCAGCAGCATAAAAGTACATGATGGGTGTAGGCAGTGTGCAATGTATTACCAATCATTACTTGCCTGAAAGAAGTGGTATAAAAAGAACTCATCAAGGATATGCCTTACTAGACAAAGAAGAAAGTGATTTAGGTGATAAGAACTAGACATAAAAGATGGACAGCCCTTGGTTTTCCTTCAAGAAGGCCTACAGAAACAGGCAAAAAAATACACAGGATGAAAAGGCATTAGAATAGCTGTAATTTGCAATAGTGGAGGGAGAACTCACACTGATGAGTTCACATGGAGTACCTGGAAATATGAGGCACTTATTAAGTGTTGATTTATTGTTGGTTGACATCTATCCAAGTACTGTCTATGGAGTGTACCTGTAGGCCAGATCTGGACAACAACTAAGGTTCCCCATTTTGAGCTAAATGTTTTTTTCCTACCCTTCCATTCTTCCAAAATAAGTAGAAAAAAACCCATACCCATCAATCCATAAGTGTGCTCTTACAAACCTGGATGATATCTTTCACCTTTATATATAGCTTTTTTGGGAGATAGGGATAGGAGGGGGAGAAATGTTTAAAGTGGTGAGTCTCAATTTACAAAGACACACACACATAGAGTTCTAGTGGGTTATCAAATTATCAGTGATTAAGCTGTGATCTATAATTTCTGTTTTAAAGTATTATAATTTTCTAAGAACTGTTAATATATTTGTGGTGTAGATAACCTACCATTAACCAAAATAATTTGATTAAATGGAATAGCTCACTTCCTAACCAGACTGAAGTGATATTTACTATATCCCTTTTGAAATATCATTGGCAAGAGACTATTTCAGAGAAGACAGTAACATCTGCCAAATTATTTTAAAGATAGTCAAGAGAGATTTACTATGCTACTCAATGAATACTTTATTCTGATTTATTCAAGTGCTGAGGAAAATAAATCCTTTAAACACAAATGTAATCTGTGCTGAATAAGAATGTTATAGTATCTTAGAGTTTTTAAGGATTTTTTTTTTAATCATAAGATGTACCTGTATGGAACAGAAAATTTAAATGCTATTAAATTGTAATTCCAAGAGGGCAAGGATCATGTCTTATATAATTAAAAAATGTTACTCAGTATCTAGCTGCTCAGCACTCTTCATCAAGTAGGTGCTTAACTAGTGGTTTAAAAGCTGAATTAACAAAGTAATTATGAGTTAACTCCAGATATACACATATATTTATATGTACACACACATATATATGTAGTTATATGTACATGCATACACACTACTCGTGCATGAAAGTAATGGTTTATAACATGCTATAACCTATTTATACCCATTATGTACCTTCATGTTGCTGCGTGTGTGTGTGTGTGTGTGTGTGTGCGTGTGTAAGTACATAGTCGGGGGAGTGTCACCAACTTGGTAATGTTCACCAGTATACATCAGAACTTCCAATATAGAAACTCCCACTATACAGACTAAACAGCAGCTCATTTGCAATTTATAGTCTTATAGAGTTGTCTAGGTCACTAAGATGTTGAATGACTTACTCATGGTGACACAGTCAGTATGTGCTAGAGGTAGGATTAGCACTCCAATCACTATGCTATGCTGTCTCCCTAAAATCATGGGTCTACATATGTGTGTACACCCACACCCACATGTATATACACACATATGTGATGTAAAATAATCAGAAATTAGTTCCCTCCTTTCTAACTAAAAAATGAAATAAATATTGTTATTGATGAATCACTCAGAAGTAAGATCTGACTTTCAGGAAAAAAATCACAATCTCTGATCAGTAGTAAAGAAATTGAGAACTCAACTTTAGAGAGAAAAGGAAAAACTTTAGTTAAAATACTATACAATAAAATAATTATGATTATAAATCTCTTTAGTTAAATATGTACACATTACATGGTATTTTATAAAAGAATGGAACTGGTTAAGATTTCTGAAGCAAATCAAATGCACAAATTTACCACTCTTTTAGTGTAATGTCAGTTTAAACATTCTTAAATGGTTGTGTCAGACTCTGCTTTGTCATGGCTCTGCTTTGTGCAAAATTAAGGAAAATTAAGAAAAATTTCTGCAAAATCCTTCAGTTCCCATGGTAAATTACTAAAAAAAAAAAAGGTAGTAGACACACACTTGATTGTATGCAGAGGTTAGAATGACCAGCACTAGTGTAACCCCTATATCTATAAAATAATTTCTTGGGTAGCTTTAGTTGTTTTCACCTTCAAAGCTGAAGTCTTAACAGTTGTGCTTTTATGCAGCCACATGGCCAATAAGGTAGATGTTGTCATAAAGGTGCCCTACAAAATCTTCACTAATGTTCTGAGCAGCGCGCCGGGTGTTTCGGATAAATTCTCTTTTTGACATTTTGTTCTTCACATGAGGACTAGTGAGGTCAATGGAAAGCAGGATCAAAGAGTAGCATAGTACATAGACAGCATCTAAAGAGAAAAAAGAAATGTCAGATATTATTAACAAGTTTTCAAGATGTGGTCCTGGGTCAACAGTCTGTGATTAGAACAAATTGAAAAGCTATTTCTTATATTTAAAAACAACTTTAGAACTGTTTAAGAACCTTCAGTACAAATAAATTCCAAATGTAAAGTTTTGGAATTGATTTCAAACTTTTAAATATCTCCTTTCAAAAGATGCATATTAAATCATTGTTGTAAGGCATATTATATATTTATTAAAGGTATAAATCATAATTTTAAAAATATTTATTTATTTAGTTTTAGTTTTCAACATTCACTGTTATAACATTTTGAGTTTTAAATTTTCTCCACCTTCTTCCCCTTTTCCCTCCCCAAGATGGCGTGCAATCTAATATAGGCTATACGTGTACAATCATATTAAACAAATTTCTACATTAGTCATGTTGTAAAGAAGAACTGGAACCAAAGGGGAGAAAAAAAGAGAAAACAGTATGCTTCAATTTTCATTTAGACTCCACAGTTCTTTCTCTGGATGTGGACAGCATTTTCCATCATGAGTATTTTGGAACTGTCTTAGTTCACTGCATTGCTGAGAAGAGCTAAGTCTGTCACAGTTGGTCATCGCATAATGTTGCTATTACTGTGTACAATGTTTTCCTGGTTCTGCTCACTTCACTCAGCATCAGTTCACGCAAGCCTTTCCAGGTTTTTCTGAAGTTTGCCTGCTCATCATTTTTTTAATTTTTAATTTACTTGCTTATTTTTAGTTTTTCAACATTCACTTCAATAAGCTTTTGAGTTTTCAATTTTCTTCCCTTCCCTTGCCTTCCCCCTCCCCAAGTTGGCATGCAATCTGATATAGGCTCTACATATACATTCATATAACATATTTTCATATAAGTCATATTGTAAAGAGATATTAGAATCAATGAGAGTAACCACAAGAAAGAAGAAACAAAACAAAACAAGAGAAAAAAGAGATTAAACAGTATGCTTCAAACTGCATTCAGTCTCCATAGTTCTTTCTCTGGATGTGGATAGCATTTTCCATGATGAGTCTTTTGGAGCTGTCTTAGATACTTGCATTGCTGAGAAGATCCAAGTTTATGAAAGTCAGTCATCGCACAATGTGGCTGTTACTGTGTACAATGTTCTCCTGCTTCTGCTCACTTCACTTAGCATCAATTCATATAAATCTTTCTAGGTTTTTCTGAGAGCTTCCTGTTTGTCATTTTTTATAGCACAGCAGTATTCTATTACATTCATATACCACAACTTGTTCAGCCATTCTCCAATTGATGGGCATTCCCTCAATTTCCAATTCTTGGCCACCACAAAAAAAATATTTTTGTACATGTAGGTCCTTTTCCCATTTTTACAATCTCTTTGGGATACAGACCTAGAAGTGGTATTGCTAGGTCAAAGGGTATGTACGGTTTTATAGCCCTTTGGGCACAATTCCAAACTGCTCTCCAGAATGCTTAGATCAGTTCACAACTCTACCAACAATGCAATAAGTGTTCCAATTTCCCCACATCTCCAACATTTATCATTTTCCTGTTTTGTCACATTAGCCAATCTGATAGGTGTGATGTGACCTCAGAGTTGTTTTAATTTGCATTTCTCCAATCAACAGTGATTTAGAGCATTTTTTCATATGACTATAGATAGCTTTAACTTCTTCATCTGAAAACTGCCTATTCATATCCTTAACCATTTATCAACTGGAGAATTAAATCATACTCTGAACCCATTCTAACAATTCTTCCATCCCAAATATATTTCTATAATGCCCTTTCAAAAATAAATTAATTGATATGTGTTGATATTGAGAAAAATTTGTGACAAGGACTTGTTGTGCAGATATGCTCTATTTATGAAAGAGATGTAAATTTGTCACTCTATAAATACATCTGGAAGATTTCTTGAGTGTTCTGTTAAAAAAGATATAGTGCTATAACAATAAAAAATTTTTGAAATATGTAATGGTCAAGACAATTGGTTCCACATCATTAATATTATGATAGCTGTAGAAATTCAGTGTTTCCATATGCTTTAAAAATACATACATGTGCACAAAACATCTATATTAAATATTCTTTGAAAAACACATTCAGAGAGGTGGAGCCAAGATGGCAGAGTGAAAGCAGTGACTTGCTTGAGCTCTCCCTCAAACCCCTCCAAATACCTAAACAAATTCTAAAGCAGCAGAACCTACAAAAAGACGTGAAACAAATTTGCAGCCCAAGAGAACCTGGATGGTTGATCAGAAAGGTATATTGCACCGGGCTGGGAGAGGAATGCAGTTTGGTGTGTGTGCGCAGGTCACAGTGAACCTGGAGCAGGCCTCAGAGGACTGAATCGTGGGCAGCTGTGGCGGTTTCCAGACTTCTCAACCCATGAATGCCAAAGACAACTTAGAAGGTCAGTGGGAAAAGTCTGTTTCTGTGGTGAGAGAGAAGCTAGGTTTCAGCTCCAGTTCCCAAGTAGCCCCGGTGCAGCAGCTGCCTCCTGAGCTTCTGGCCCACAGACTGAGGGGGAAATCAGGTGGCTGATCAAAGACGGATTGCAGGGATCTCTTTGCCAGTGCTGAGCAATCTCTTGTTTTGCTGGTGCTTGGATCTGGGTCACAGTTCTGAGGGGCAGTCCTGGGGTGAGGAGGAGCGCTGGCGTGGTAGAGTTTGTAGTGGCAGTGCTGAGGAACTCCTCTTCACAGTTCCAAGAAAGAAAAGAGTGCTTGTGGTCACTCACAGACCAGAGCACAGGCTAGGAAAGGAGTAAACACCTCGCTCCTTATCATACCACCTTGAAAGAACTGAAAATTTACAGGTCCCTACAAGTATCTCTGAAAACAGGTGTACAAACCCCCGAAGCTTGGGACAGTACACTCTCCACATTGGAAGCAGACCTCTACTTTAATAAAGAGTTCATAACTCAAGTAACTGGCTGGGATCATGAACAAACCTCGCAAGAAGTGTCAGACCATAGAAACTTTTTTGGTACCAAAGAAGACCAAAATATACAACCAGAAGAAGACAACAAAGTCAAAGCTCCTACATCCAAAGTCTCCAAGAAAACATGAATCAGTCCCAGGCCTTAGAAGAGCTTCAAAAGGATTTTGAGAAGGAAGTAAGAGAAGTAGAGGAAAAAGTGGGAAGAGAAATGATAGTGATACAAGAAAATCATGAAAAATTAGTCAACAGCTTGCGAAAGGAGATCTAAAATATACTGAAGAAAATAACACCTTAAAAAATAGCCTAACCCAAATGGCAAAAGAGGTCCAAAAAGCCAATGAGGAGAAAAATGCCCTAAAAAGCAAAACTGGCCAAATGGAAAAGGAAGTCCAAAAGCTTACTGAAGAAAACACTTCCTTAAAAATTAGAATAGAACAGTTGGAAGAAATCCCAAAACAGTAGAACAAATCCAAAAGAATGAAAAATTAGAAAACAATGTGAAATATCTCACTGGAAAGACAACTGACCTGGAAAATAGATCCAGGAGAGAGAATTTAAAAATTATTGGACTATCTGAAAGCCATGATCAAAAAAAGAGCCTAGACATCATCTTTCAAGAAATTATCAAGGAAAACTGCCCTGATATTTTAGAACCAGAGGGCAAAATAAAATTGAAAGAATCCACTGATCTCCTCCTGAAAGAGATCCCCAAAGGAAAACTCCTAATATTGTAGCCAAATTCCAGAGTTCCCAGGTCAAGGAGAAAATATTACAAGCTGCCAGAAGGAAACAATTCAAGTATGTGGAAACACAATCAGGATAACACAAGATTTAGCAGCTTCTACATTAAGGACCAGGGCATGGAATATAATATTCTGGAGGGCAAAGGAGATAGGATTACAACCAAGAATCACCTACCCAGCAAAACTGAGTATAATCCTTCAGGGGAAAAAATGGTCATTCAGTGAAATAGAGGACTTTCAAGCATTCTTGATGAAAAGACCAGAGCTGAATAGAAAATTTGACTTTCAAATACAAGACTCAAGTGGAACATGAAGAGGTAAACAGGAAAGAGAAATCATAAGAGACTTATTAAGGCTTGAACTGTTTACATTCCTGCATGGAAAGATAATATTTATAACTCATGAGACCTTTGTCAGTAGTAGGGTAGTTGGAGGGAAAAAATTATATAGATATAGATACATAGATAGATAGATGGAGGGCATAGGGTGAGTTGAAGATGAAGGGGTCATATCTGGAGAATAAAATTAAGGGGTGGGAGAGGATTATACTGAGAAGGAGAAAGGAGAGGTAGAATGGGTAAATTATCTCACAAAAAAACAGAAAAGAAAAGGCTCTTACAGTAGAGGGGAAACAGGGGAAGGTAAGAGGGAATGAGTGAGTCTTACTCTCATAGGATTTGGCTTAAGGAGGGAATAACATACACACTCAATTGGGTATGGAAATCTGTCTTACCCTACAGGAAAATAGGGGGAGAAGGGGACAAGAGAGCAGGGGGATGATAGAAAGGAGGGCAGATTGGGAAAGGGGGTAATCAGAAGCAAGCACTTCTGAGGAGGGACAGGGTCAAAAGAAAGAATAGAATAAATGGGAGGAGGGAAATAGAGTTAGTTTTTTACAACAGGACTACTATGTAAGTGTTTTGCATAACTGCACATGCATAACCTATATTGAGTTGCTTGCCTTTTCAGTGAGGGTGGGTTGGGAGGGAGGAAGGGAGAAAATTTAGAACCCAAAATTTTAAAAACACATTTAAAAGAAAATGTTTTCACATGCAACTGGGAGATAAGAAATACAGGAAATGGGGTATAGAAATCTGTCCTGCCCTACAGGAAAACAGAAGGGGAAGGGGATAAGAGAAGTGAGGGAGACATAGAAGGGAGAGCAGACTAGGGGAAGGGATAGCCAGAATGCATGCCATCTTGGGGTGGGGGGAGGGGCGAGATGGGGTGAAAATTTGCAACTCAAAATCTTGTGGAAGTAAATGTTGAAAACTAAAAATAAATATAAAATTAAAAAAAAAAAAAGAAAAACACATTCCATAGACATGGAATGGGCATATTGAGAACATTTCACATAATCTTGATATGTAACTAGTTATGCGACATCTATTCTTAATAAGAGAAACAATGAAATTATTGGGAGTAAGAATGGAAAAAGAAGACATATCAGATGAGAAATTACATTGTAAATTTATAATAATACAATGGTATAGCTGGATTAAAATGGAAATTTAATTTTAAAATACAAATGTTTTCTATATGGTGCCACTCAGTTGAGTATCTGGAAAGTATTTTCCTCACCTTTTAAAACTTAATTTCACAGTTTCCAATTATAGATGTTTGTCACGTAAACATACCTTAGAGTTGCATAAATTCTCAAGCTGGAACAAAATGATCAAGCAGCTTTAAGGAATTAATACATTTGAATATCAGCTCTCACTGGCAATTTACAATGTCATTCCAGTACAAATGAGATGAGATATATAATGTGTATACATATACATATGGAAAGCAATTTACAAAGCTTAAAGTGCAATACAAATGCAAATGATTACATTTACTAAAGAAAAGAAAGACACTTGCTGAGGTATCAACTTAATTTTCTGACATAATGACGTAGTCTATCAAAGCTTGTATCAGAAAAAAGTCAGTTTTATTGATCATAGTTGTCACATAATGCTTACGCATACAAAAAAGTCATTTGTATTCTGGAATCATCTTTCAACTTTGGAAGAAATGGCACATATACTACTTAAAGTGGCTATTTCTATTGTTATCAAAAATTTACTTTCAGAAATTAAAGTGATCCCAATTGCAGGTACGACACCACAATGAGTCTAATATAGATTAATTCTGAGTGGGAAATGCACTCGCCATTCTATCTCTATGACCTTGGACACATTGCTCAGTTGTTTCTAGGTCTCAATTTTCTCAAAGACGTACTTTCTCCAAATCCATTCCTTCCATTATACCAGGCTGCTTACCTCTAAAATTCTGTTTCTATGTCCCCTACAAACACAGCACTGCATACATCCTTTATATAACCCACAAAGCCTATGAGTACTATCATTCTTCTTTCTCAATACAGTTTTGACTCATTTTAAGATAATGAAATGGATTTAAACATACTTAAATGGAAAAAAAAAATAAAGTAAACAAGATCTCCTTTGGCCTGCAATCAGAAATGTCCTGACTATCACATAAGAACATTAATTTTAAGTTACAGGCACTAAAAGGAACTGTTTCAGGTCCTTATAACTCAAGCCTGAACTATTTACAAAGCTCTTTTGGTTGGTTTCCCTGATTGAAGGCTCTCCCTATTCCAATTCATACTCCAAATAGCTGCCAAAATGATTTTCCTAAAATGCAGGTATTACCATGTTACTTTCCTACTCCATAAAAACTCCAGTAGCTCTCAATTACATCCAGGATCAAATATAAAATCTTGCTTTTGGGTTTTAGATCCTTTCACAACCTGGACCCTTCCAAATCTTCTTACTCTCCTCTACAGACTCTATGATCAAGTGGCAGTACCCTTCTTGGTGTTCCTCACACACACTCTCCATCTACTGTGCATGTGCACTGCAGGTTCCTCATGACTGGAACACCTTACTCTTTCCTCACTTCTGCCTTCTGGCTTCCTTCAACTGAGCTTAGAGGCCTGGTCCCCTATACTACTAGTGATTTCTCTTTTAAGATTACCTTTCACTTATATTGTATTTATTCTCTCTCTCTCTCTCTCTCTCTCTGTGTGTGTGTGTGTGTGTGTGTATTTCATCCTATGATATTTTTATAAAAATTTAGTTTTCCCATTGTTTTGAAATACTTGGATTTCATATAAAAAGGCAATAATAAGGCATGTAAAGCTTTATATCGAGAAAGCTGTGACTATAAATCAATCTTAATGTTCATTATTATAAAAACTAAACCTTTTGACAAAATTTTTACCTGCTTTAGCTTCTAGTTAGTTGGGAGGTAAGACATACCAAGAGGAAAAAAGTAGCAATTCATTATGGAAATTCTTACCAGGACTAAGGCCAAGCTCTCTCATCAAATCAGGATTACAAGCACAGAATCTGTGTGAGAATTTTGTTATAAGAGTTTCAAGATACTCCCCACGCTCTTCAGGGGCATGAATATGTCGAAAAAACTCTCGCAGTGCATTTGGCAAGAACTGATTTCTAAAATTGTGCAAAGTCACAAGGTCATCCAAGACATCTCTCCTAGGAGAAAGACAAAAAGATAAATTTTGGTAAATTTCTAGTTTCCATTTCTTTATTATAGAAAGAAAATATTGATGGAAAAGGTAAATGTCCAATTTTTGGTAGAAAATATTTGATTATTTGGAGTCAAAGCTGTTAAATTTATCTCAAAAGCCATAGGTATGATGTATACAGTTGCCATTTTTGTAACATATGCTGAGCAATTTAAAGTTGTATAAAATGAAAATTTTTGAAATAGCCAAAAATTTTAAGGTCTTATCTACACGAGCTTGTTGTAAAAGACAAAAAAACTGGGTGCACAAATGAAATGAAGAAAAGATGGTGAAGTTTACAATTTAAATATAAAAAACCTGAACCTTCTTTACAACCGTACATAATAGTAAAGACCTAATATCTATTTTTACACATTAGCATCATGTTGCTTTAACTAAATTAACTTGCTTACTTATGATAATATGATAATTAATTTTTAAGAAATATTTAAAATATTACCATGTAAAAATGAAAAGGGATTAGTAATGTGATCTCTATATAAGGACATTTCTTATCTGACAATTTGCATAGATATGCACATACATAAAAACAGATAAAGGGTTTTTTTGGTGCCTATTTTTTTTTTCCATATCCAACTTCCAAAAAAAATTATTTTCACATAAAACAGACAAGAAAAGGCTCTTACAGTGGAGGAGAAACGGAGGAAGGTGAGAGAGAATTAAGGAGGGAATAACATACACGCTCATTTGGATATGGAAATCTATCTTACCCTTCAGGAAAATAGGGGAAAAGGGGACAAGAGAACAGGGGAATGATAGAGGGGAGGGCAGACTGGAGAAGGGGGTAATCAGAAGCAAACACTTCTGAGGGTCAAAAGAGGGAACAGAATAAATGGGAGGTGTGATAGGATTAAGGGAAATATACTTAGTTTTTTACAACATGAAGTATTTTGCAGGACTACATGTATAACCTGTATGGAGTTGCTAAGTTTTAAAAACGAATATAAAAAAAAATTGTTTTCACATGCAACTGGGAAATAAGTTATACAGGAAATGTGGTATAGAAATCTATACTGCCCTACAGGAAAACTAAAAGGGAAAGGGATAAGAGAAGGTGGGGGAGAGATAGAAGGGAGGGCAGATTAGGGGAACGGGTATTCAGAATGCATGCCATCTTGAGGTGGGAGGAGGGATGAGATGGGGAGAAAATTTGGAACTTAAAATCTTGTGGAAATGAATGTTGAAAACTAAAAACAAATAAATTAATTAAAAAAAATAAATCTGCCTGGGGGGGTTATTTTTAAACCTAAGCACAAAATAAGAAAAGGGGAAAAAAATTGCATGTATACAGCAGAACATGAGAAGATTCAATGTAAAGCAATAAATTTTCATTTCAAGAAAATTTATTTAATAAATACCAGACACTGTTTTCAAAGCTGTCCAGCTTTTCTTTGATTCCTTGTAGGTTTTCTTTTGTTCTCTATCTGAATTTTTTACTTTATTGTTTCTTTTTCCTCTCCCCTCACCCAGAAGTCTACAATTAAGCATGGACACACACACATCTATAAACATGCACATATACACATATATGGAAGACTGTACTATGCTTATTTCTACTTGTCATCTGTTTATCTGAAGGTGTATAGCATCATCTTTCATAAACTCAAGTCTTTCCATGCTTTTCTAAATCAACCAGCTTTTTACTTCCTATATCACAGCAATATTATGCAACCCAATCACTCTATCTGAGAGACTGGCTATGAAAATTTCCCCCCAATTTATGCATTCCTTTTATTCTTGGATACGTATGTTTTACTTAATACAAGAAAATTTTTAATTTAAAATAATCAAAATTATTCATTTTACACTTCAACAATGCTCTCACCTTATAATATGGTTTAAGGTGTGATACTACTGAATATGTTTCCTTTACATCTTTGTAAAGGTTTCTTTGAAGTTCCCGACCTTTTGTTCTTCTAAATGAACTATGTTATTATTTTTTCTAACTCAGTAAGATAGCTTTTTTTTTTAGTAATTTAATTGGGATGGCATTACTTAAATAGATTAGTTATTGAAAACGTAATTTTAAAAAATTATATTGGCTTTACCTACCCATGAAAAATAAATATTACTTAAAGTACTTAGATCTAACTTTATTTGTATAAAAATGTTTTATGTTTATATTCATAATAGTTACTGTGTCTGTTTTGGCAGGTATACTCTCAGGTATTTTATTCTGTCTAGTTATTTTAAATGGTCTTAAACAACACTGAATAATATGGCTGACACATAATGTAGTTTCCATTTTTGTCTTTAGGACAAGAAGAGTTTTTTTTTAAAATAAATTTTTATTGATATCCTGTTTTAAAAAATATATTTTTATTGATAACCTTTTGCTTTTTACACGATCAGAATTTCTTCCAGTATTCTTATACCTCACTCCTCCTTGAGAGTCATAACATATAACAAATAATATTTTTCAAAGAAAAATAAAAAAGAGAAAAATCAGCAAAACCAAACACTACATCAAACATATTCAATATCCACACCTGTGGCCTTCCCACCTCTGTAAAAGATTTGGAGAGATGCTTTCTCCAACGTCTTATTTGAGGTCATGCTTGTTCTTTTTATTTTTATTTTGAACATTTTCATCTCTTTTATGGTTTTCCTTTCCATTTATGTCATTGTTTTCTTGGCTCTGCTTATTTTATTCTTCATCAGTTCACTTAGATCTTTACATGTTTCTGTAGTCATCGTGTTCTTTCTTTCTTATAGCATAGTAATGTTCTATTGCATTTATGTACCACAGTTTGTACAGTGATTCCCTACTCAGTGGGCATCTACTCTGTTTCCACTTCTTTACTCCCACAAAAGGTAATGTTATAAACATTTTGATATTTATGGGGACTTTCATCTTATCAATGACCTCCTTAGGATATATGCTTAGTAGTAGAAGCTCTGGGTCAAAGGGTATGACTTTAATCACTTTATTTGCATAATTTCAAAATGCTTTTCAAAATAGTCGCACTGATTCACAGGTCCACCAATGGATTAGTTTACCTGTTTTCTCACACCTCCAACACTGACTATTTCTATCTTTTGTCATCTTTGCCAACGTAAGGTGAAACCTCAAGGTTGTCTTGATTTGCATTTCTCCTATTATTAGTGATTTAGTGCATTCTTTCATATGGATGTTAATAGCTTGCAATTCTTTTGAAAATTATTCCTATCCTTTGACAATTTATCTATTGCAAAATGGTTTTACACACACACACACACACACACACACACATCTATATAGTGTACACACTTATCTTGGATACCTAACAGCATTTGAAAAATCTGACACAAAGATTTTTTTCCATTCTACCCCTTCTATTTTATCCTAGGTATATCAATTTTATTTCTAAAGAAGCTTTTTAATGTCATGTAATCAAAGTCTTTATCTTTTGTAATTGCTTCCATCTGTTTAGATAGGAATATACTTCTACTATAGCTTGAAAGGTATATCATCTGCTTCTCTTCTAAATATTTTATGGTGTTATCTTTAACATTAAGGGCACATATTTATTGTGATTTTATTGTGGAACATGGTGTAAAATGTTTGTCTAGGCCTGATTTCTGCCACACTGTTTTCTAGTTCCCCCAGTAGTTTTTATTGCAATTAAAAAAAAATGAAGTTCCTAAGTAATTTATATTTTCTGGTTTATAAAACAGTGGATTACTGAGTTCCATTCTTTCTGATTTTCCCTATATAGTCTATTCCATTGATCTACTTCTCTATTTTTTTTAACAATACTAAATGGTTTTGATGACTGTATCAGTAATTGCTATTTCATCTTTTCTTTTTTTCCTTTGTTATTATTTTCTCTACTTCTAGAAAAGTATCCCTTTGATCATTTTATTGGCATAACATTAACACTATAAATTATCTTTGGTGGTATTGCTGTTTTCATTATACTGGAACAATCAACAAAGAACAATGACTACTTCTCCTGTTATTTAAGTTATTCTTTCTTTTTTAAATTAATTAATTTACTTTTAGTTTTCAACATTCACTTCCACAAGATTTTGAGTTCCAAATTTTCTCCCCATCTCATCCCTCCCCCGACCCCAAGATGGCATGCATTCTGAATACTCCTTCCCCTAACCTGCCCTCCTTTCTATCTCCCCCCCCAGCCTTATCCCTTTCCCCTTCTATTTTCCTGTAGGGTAGGATAGATTTCTATACCCAATTTCCTGTATATCTTATTTCCCAGTTGCATGTGAAAACAATTTTTTTTAACATTTGTTTTCAAAACTTTGGGTTCCAAATTTTCTCCTTTCTTCCCTCCCTACCCACCCTCATTGAGAAGGCAAGCAACTTGCTACATGTGTAGTCATGCAAAATGCTTCCACAGTAGTCATGTTGTGAAAAACTAAGTATATTTCCCTTCATCCTATCCCACCCCCTTTTTATTCTATTCTCTCTTTTGACCCTGTCTTGATTACCCCCTCCCCCAATCGGGCCTCCCCTCTATCATCTCCCTGCTCTCTTGTCCCCTCCCCTCCCCATTTTCCTATAGGGTAAGATAGATTTGCATGTTATTCCTTCCTTAAGACAAATCCAATGAGAAGAAGATTCACTTATTCCCTCTCTCCTTCTCCCATTTCCCCTCCACTGTAAAAGTCTTTTCTTGTCTGTTTTATGTGAGATAATTTACCCCATTCTACCTCTCCCTTTCTCCTTCTCCCAGTATAATCCTCTCTCATCCCTTAATTTTATTCTCCAGATATCGCCCCTTCATCTTCAAATCACCCTGTGCCCTCTATCTATCTATTCTATCTATCTATCTATCTATCTATCTATCTATCTATCTATCTATCTATCTATCTACCTATCTATATACATACATATAATTTTTTCCCTCCAATTACCCTAATACTGACAAAGGTCTTATGAATTACTAATATCATCTTTCCATGCAGGAATGCAAACAGTTTAAACTTATTAAGTCCCTGATGATTTCCCTTTTCTGTTTACCTTTTTATACTTCTCTTGAGTCTTGTCTATGAAAGTCAACTTTTCTATTCAGCTCTGGCCTTTTCAGCAAAAATGTTTGAAAGTCCTGTATTTCACTGAATGTCCATTTTTCCCCCTGAAGAATTATACTCAGTTTTGCTGGGTAGGTGATTCTTGGTTGTAATCCTATCTCCTTTGCCCTCCGGAATATTATAGTCCAAGCTCTCTGGTCCCTTAATGTAGAAGCTGCTAAATCTTTTGTTATCCTGACTGTGGCTCCAAGATACTTGAATTGTTTCTTTCTGGCTGCTTGCAATATTTTCTCCTTGACCTGGGAACTCTGGAATTTGGCTACAATATTCCTAGGAGTTTTCCTTTGGGGATCTCTTTCAGGAGGAGATCAGTGGATTCTTTCAATGTCTACTTTACCCTCTGGTTCTAGAATATCAGGGCAGTTTTCCTTGATAATTTCTTGAAAGATGATGTCTAGGCTCTTTTTTTGATCATGGCTTTCAGGCAGTCCAATAATTTTAAAATGATCTCTCCTGGATCTATTTTCCAGGTCAGTTGTTTTTCCAATGAGATATTATAGTCTATTTTTTCAATCTTTTGGTTTTGTTTGATTGTTTCTTGATTTCTCATAAAGTCATCAGCTTCCATTTTCTCCATTCTAGTTTTTAAGGAAGTATTTTCTTCATTGAGCTTTTGGACTTTCCTTTTCCATTTGGCCAATTCTGCTTTTTAAGGCATTCTTCTCCTTATTGGCTTTTTGGATCTCTTTTGCCATTTGGTCTAGTCTATTTTTAAGGTGTTATTTTCTTCAGCATTTTTTTTTAAATCTCCTTTAGCAAGCTGTTGACTTGTTTTTCATGATTTTCTTGCATCACTCTCATTCCTCTTCCTAATTTTTCCTCTACTTCTTTTACTTGTTGCTCAAAATTCTTTTTGAGCTTTTCCATAGCCTGGGACCAATTCATATTTTTCTTAGAAGCTTTGGGTGCAGGAGATTTGACTGTGTTGTCTTCTTCTGGTTGTATATTTTGATATTTGTCACCAAGGTAAGATTCTATGGTCTCTGTTTTTTTTTGCACATGATCCCAGACAATTACATGAGTTATAAACTCTTTCTTAAAGTAGGGGTCTGCTTCCAGTGTGGAGACTGTATTGTCCCAAGCTTCAGGGATTTTGTGCAGCTGTTTTCAGGGATACTTCTAGGGACCTGTAAATTTTCCATTCTTTCAAGGCGTTATGATCAAAAGCCAAGCGTATACTCCTTTCTGGACTGTTCTCTGGGTGTATGAGTGACCATAAGCACTCTTTTCTGGCTTGGAACTGTGAGGATTCCCTCTGCACCACAGCCACAAGCTTCACCATGCCAGCACTCCTCCTTGCCCCAAGACCCCCACCCAGGACTGTGACCCAGATCCAAGCACAGGCAAAGCAAGAGAATCCTGACTCAGCACCAGTCAAGTGATCCCTGCAATCTTCCTCTGATCAGCTGCTTGATCCTCCCACCATCTGTGGGCCAAGAGCTCCAGAAGCCTCTGCCACAGTAGGGCTGCACCAGAACTGGGGCTGGACCATGCTCCTCTCTCACCCAGGTCCGACAGACCTTTCTTACTGACCTTCTAAGCTGTCTCTTTGGCATTTGTGAGTTCAGAAGTCTGGAAACCACCACAGCTGCCTGTGATTCAGTCCCCTGAGGCCTGCTTCAGGTTCACTGAGGGCCTGTTTTTGTCTACGTGGCCCACAATGAATTGTGTTCCTCTCCTAGCCTGGTGGCAACAGACCTTTCCTATCAACCATCCAGGTTGTCTTGGGTTGGAAATTTGTTTCACTCTGTCTTTTTGTGGGTTTTGCTGCTCTAGAATTTGTTTAGAGCCATTTTTTACAGGTATTTGGAGAGGCTTGGGGGACAGCTCAAGCGAGTCATTGCTTTCACTCCACCATCTTAGCTCCGCTCCCCCTTCTTGGGTTTAGTTTTATTCTTAATTTCAAATTTGATTTCTATATGGACAATGTAAAAACTGAAAATTTCTCATTAGATCTAAACTGCTAGCAATGAATATGTGTAACTGATTAATAGGAAAATACAGTGCTAAGGTTTTTTCAGAAAAGCTTTGATCTGATTTGCTAGCAGAGGTGCTGATGGATGACCTCCCCTGCTACTTTACTGAAGAGACTGAGAACATCTATTATGATCACCCTTTTTCCATATCCTCTACACCTAAAAACCTCTCTAAGTTTTATTCACTCTCTCCATTTTTGGTTATCTTACTTGATGAAGTGATATTTCTCCTTGTGAAAACTAATCCTTCCATTTGTGTCCTTAATCCATTTCCTTCCTATCTCATTCTGAGAAATCCATACTTGTACAAATGAAATTATTGTCTCTAAGGGCACCAATGACCTTTTCTCAGTTATCAATCTTCTTGACCTCTACATCATCTAATATTGTTGACCACCCACTTTCTCTTGACCCTCTCTTTTCTCTTGGCTTCCATGGTATGACTCTTTTCTGCTTATCCTACTTGTCTGGACATTCTTCTCTCCTGACCATTTTCTTGTTTCATCATTTTCTCTCTAGACTGTCCTGAGCCCTCATTTCTCTTATTTTATCCTTTGATGGCTTTACCCACTCCCTAGCCTTAATTATCAGTTCTGGAGAGGATTCCCAACTCTGCCTACTCAACCTCAATATCTTTCCTGAATGCCAGTCTCAAATCACTGTCTGCATAGCCCCAAGGGGCCTTTAATTCAACATGACCAAAACGTTTGCTTCCTGTTGCTAGTTTTGTCATTCTCCCAGCCATACATGCAGGAAATTTTAGATATTTTTTTTGACTCAGTCTACCTCACCGTACTCAAAGATGCAATCTGTTACCAAGTCCTCTACCTCCACAATACCTTTTGCATCTGGCCCCTCTTCTCAATTCATACTGCTATTACCCCAGTTAATGCTTTTATCACTTGTCTCATGAACTATTTTGCAAAGCTGCTCTCCCGACAACAATCTCTCCTCTATTAAAATGAACTATTATTAGAATAATTCTTTTTACTACAGTGGTATCCTGTTTAGCAAACTGAAGACAGTTTCTCCAAGGTGATGTGTTAAGAAAGGTTCATTTCATTCTCTGATAAGGTCCTCATCTCCTCTGTCCTGGATTATTTTTTAATAGCCTCTTTTCTGGTCTCCTTGACTCCAGTTTCACCCCATTCTCTTTGTAAAGATAAGAAAAATAATCTTACTAATACTTATGTATGAATTATAACTCTACTGTTCACAAGTCTTCAGTTGCTCCCTGTTGCCTAAAAGATAAACTACAAACTCCTTAGCTTGGTATAGAAGACCCTCCACAATATGGTTCCAAAATGCATTTCATTCCGCTCCCTGGACATCATGAATTCTTTAATCAAATTTTATTGTTAAGAACTATCTACATCTAAAGGAAAATTTGGCTTCTGATTAACATAAGTAATTTATTAAAAAAAGTTGTGTGGTTAAAAAAACATTTGAATTCTCTACTAATTTTTATTTATTTTTACCTTTCATCAAGATAGATTCTCAGCTTCTTCCAATTTAGTGTTCTTGTACAAAAGATAAACTTTGCGATTTCCTTCGGTGAATCATCCAGGATGCCCTTGGACATAAAGTAGTTCACTCCCTAAGGCAGAAACAGATATGGCTAGATGAATAAAAGTGTCCTTTAAAATTTATATTTATAGACAATTACTATTTTAGCAGATCAATAATTATAAACTTTTTAGTTTTAATAGGCTTTATTTTGCTATTAATTCAAATTGTATTTAAACATGCAAAATACAAGCTAAAACTTAGTAGACTGTTACTGTAATTTATGGTTGATATTTTACATGCAATGAAAGGTAGGAAATTCAAAGATATAGATACCATAGCAATCTTCTTATGCTTATTTAAATATAATGTCTGCACAGGCAACCACTGCTAAGCTTCCATCTGTATTATTTGTTTATATAATGAAGGAAAAATGAAACTCATATAAAAAGACTAACATTATTCTACCTACTTGAACATATTCCCCATACCAATCCTTTTTCTCCCCAAATAGAAAACATGGTACCTGAAGACCAGCTATAAGCACTAACAGACCTTTAAAGGAAAGAGCTTCTAAATTTTTTTTTCTAACTACATTGAATTGTACTTTGGAAATGGAAATGCTTGGCTATTCTTGCCTACAGATTTGAAGCTGTGCCAGGACAGGTGGTGTGCTGGCTTTGCATAATGCTAAATATTGTGAGCAGCCAGCTAGAAATGTAGACACCTATTAAGGCAAATGATTTCATTGTTTTCATGGCATTTATCTTTGAATTTCCTGACCTCAGCATGCAAAACTTTCAAGAGAAGCATTACCATAGTTTTTATGACTAGATTATTTTTAAAACAACAACAACAATAAACAAACTGAAATCAATGTTCTTACATAGATATGAAAGTCACATTCAAATAAATGTCTTTTACAGATTTGAATGTGTAGTCATTTAAATAAAAGGCAGATATATTTATTTCAACATGCAGATATCCAGCATACATGCATGCCCATGAATGCTTATGTCTGGATAATACTAGCCTGTATGTATTTAATTGGTATAAAAATGATTCATTTTGCATGCATGATATACTGTTTCCACATATACATCTCTTATTTCTTCAGTATTTCTCTAGGTTAAGAAGCATTTATATACCTTTTCAGGGCGCTGTACACATTTAACTAATTACTCATATCTAGAAAGTTTTTCATAAAAAATAAGATCCTTCTCCCAAACATTTTTATACTGAATTTTAAAAAGTAATTTTGATAGTAATAAGAAATACTGTGAATATCTATAAACTAGAATTTAAAGATGAGATATTCAAATATGTATAATTATGTACTTTTAAGAGCATTCAGATTATAGTATTCTATAATTAATGCTCTGAAGATCCTTATTTATACTTTATTTATAATTTCTTAAAACCAATAAAATAGAAATGCTAAATCATTAGAGAAAAATGGAGTAAAGGAAGGGATAAGAAGCACCTGGTACAAAATAGCCTAACTCCTGGGGGTCTCAAGGATGCTTCCATGTTAAGCTGTATTTCAGAATAAATGTTGGATATAGGTATAGAATATAAGAAGGCCTAGACAATACATAAAATGACTGGTCTAGAATGAAATTAGCAGCAGTTATTTTAGGCATACACAGTAGAATCTTGAATTAGTTATTGGTTGCTTAGTTCCATCCTCCCCTCCATTAGCAAAAATAATAAGAGAGTTGACTGTATACATAAAAGGCTTCTTGGTTTATTTCACAATTCTATAGTTAAATTCACACATTAGAAACTTCCTAAACCCCAATTAATCCAAATGACTGAATTTGCCAGAAAATTTTAGATGCACAGCAATACAGAAAAAGTATTATTTAAATGACCACTCATACAGAACTGTAAAAGTACATGATGCTAATATTTTTTTACAAAATCATTAACATCGTGAAATTTTACTAAATGTTTAAACAAAAATAGTGATCATTTAAATTCTCTAATATAAGCATTACAGCATTATTTAATGTTCTCTAATGCAAAGGATGAATAAAAACAACAATGCTTCTAATTTCCTTTCACACTAATAACTGCCCAATAATGTTCCATGTGTAGCAAAAAGTAAGTCTGGCATTGCTTTAAATAAGGAGGGGTGAAGACAGGCAATTACATAGCATCTACTATGTGCCAGGCATAAACATTTTACAAAATATTATCTCATTTGATCCTCCAACAATCCTGTAAGGTAGGTATTGTTTTTATCCCCATTTTACAATTGAAGAAATTGAGGCAGAGGTAAAATGACTTGCCCAGGGTCATGCATGGCTAATAAGTGTCTGAGGACGCAGCTGAACTGAAGTCTTCCTGAGTTCTGTGTACTGTACCACCTAACTGCCTCTAAATAAAATATGGCTTTTCTTCATGGAACTTACAGTCAGTCTAGTGGGGAATGCAACACAAATAACCACAGTCTGAGCATGATTTAATTACAATTAATTCTAACAGCTATCACTTTGGCATTATATGGAAGATGAACTGCAGTGGAGAGAGACCTGAGGCAGGCAGACCCACCAGCAGGCTACAGCAATAGTCTAGGTGTGAGATAATGAGAGCCTGCATCAGGGTGGTGACAGTGTCAGAGGGAAGAGAGCATATTTGAGAGATATTACAAAGTTGAAATCAAGAGGCCTTGGCAACAGATTGGATGTGGGGTAGGAGAGATAGTGAGCAGTCAAGGATGATACCTAAATTGTTAGCCTGAGGAACTCAGAGGTTGTGGTGTTCTCAACAATAATAGGGAAGTTAGGAGTGGAAGAGGGTTTAGGGGAAGAGATAATGAGTTCAGTTTCAGACATGTTGAATTTAAGATATGTTGAACATCCAGTTTGAGATGTTTGAAAGACAGCTGGAAATGTGAGATTGGAGAGATTAGGGCAGAATGGGTAGATTTGAGAATCAGCAGTATAGAGACTATAATTAAATCTAAAGTAGCTGAAGAGATCACCAAGTGAAGTACTACAGAGGGAAGAGAGAAGAGAATCCAGGACAGAGCCCTGTAGGACAATTCTGGTTAATGGGTGTGATCTGGATTAGGCTCTAGCAAGAGAACAAAAAAACAGAGGTCTGACAGGTTGTAGAACCAGGAGAGTGGTGTCCTGAAAACCTGGGAAGAAGAGAGTATCAAGAAGTAGAGGGTGATGGACAATGTCAAAAGCTGGAGAGAGGTCAAAAAGAATGAAGATTGAGAAAAAGTCAGTGGTTTTGGCCACTTTGAGGGAGACATTTTGGGGAAATCATGAGGTCAAAAGCCATATTGTAAGTTGTTATGAAGTGAAGGAGAGGAGAGAAAGTAGAGGCACCAATTGTAGATAGCCTTTTTAAGGAGTTTAGCTATAAGAGACATAGGACAACAGTTACTGGAGATGGAAGGATCAAGTGAGGACTTTTTGAGGATGGAGAAGACATGGGCATGTTGGTAGGCTGTAGGTAAAAAGCCAGTAGACAAGGAGAGCTTGAAGATAAATGAAAGAGTGGGGATGACAGAGAGGGCAATCTGTTGGCGATGGGAAGAAAGGGGATTGTTTTGCAGGTAGGAGGGTGGACCTTGGTAAGGAGTAAGAATAGAAGCAAGAAGAAGGTCTATAATTTCCTGTGAGCCAGGCACTGAACTCCTTAAGGACGGAAAGAGAGTGTCCTGGAGGTCAGCACATAATAGTCACTAGGATTTTGACTGGATGATAAATGTGGATTGAATGAACTTAAAAAGAGGAGAGGTTACTGAATGATGGTGACAGACAGAGAGCCTGAAAGTGGCAATGAGTATTCCAACTCTCCTACCACAATTAATGAGTGATGGGGGTAGGGGTTATAAGTGAAAGTGCAACAAGGGTTGGACAGGGTGGTCAGGGAGTCTATGTCTTAGCTAAACTGGCAGGTGAACAATTCCAGGATTTACAGGCTCTAAAAAATAGGATGAGAGACTCCATGGTAAACTATAGAAACAATAGAATAATTAAATAAAATAAGTATATTAAAGGTAAAGAAAGCACATAAATACTATTGTCTGATTTTTATTCATGTCATTTTTTTTGCCAAGTCTTACAGAAGGTATAATTTTCTACAGAAAAAATTTTCACAGTCACATAGTTGACTTGAGAGATGTAAATAATACATAATACCACTAAGTTTACTGACTCAGTTAAGCAAAATTCAGCCTTAAAGGTTATTTTAAAAAATCCAACAATAAACATTAAAAGAACCCAAAGAAGACCAGCATATTGGTTAAGTAGTTAATGGAAGATTTACAGAAAAAAATAGATGAAGATCACCTATAATGGGAAAGCAAGGATGAGTTTTAATCTCTACTACTAGAGGGAATATACATTAGAAGGATTATATGGATCCACTGACTATGTCTTAAGGATATCTAAGTTATAGTAATGTTTTTTAAGTAATGCTTTTTATGTAAAAACTTAGTTTTCCCTGAGGTCTTTACCACTAGCACCTATTAGGTTGAATTACAATTTGTTTTTTAATATTCTCAAAACGAAATAATCATGTAGTAGCACCTATTTCAATTTATACTTGGAAGGTTCAGAATGGTACTCCAAATTAGAGATCAAACCTTCTTGTCCTCCCATTATAAACCCCAAAGTAAAAACTGCAATGTTTTGTCTGTATGATACGATTATAGTTTTAGAGTAAGGGATTTTAGGGGCAATCTATTCTAACTGGCCCACCCCTTGCCATTTCATAGATAACAAAGTAAGGTTTAGATAGGTTCTAGATTCTCTCTCTCCAAATTTACTCCTTTTTCCATTATAGTAAATTTTGCCTCCCGTGACTATGTAATTTAATTAACAACTCTTTGTAAAGAGAAACAAAAATTTCTACAGCATCTTTACAAACAAACTTAAAACAAAACCTCAATTTAAGGTTGAATTTACCACTATAACTTTAGAGGCCATGGCTAGGAATTCTACTCTACAGTGACTCAAATCCAAAAACTGTGAACAAAAATATGGACACAAGACTGAAATCTGTAGGTATCCAGATTAACACTAGAGTGATCAGTCACAGTTTATCACCACTTTAAAAAAAACTTCT